AAAGAGTGAAAACAGAGATGACAGTAAAAACTAAAAAGTACTACGGATTAATTAATGTGAAATAACAAATCTCGAACTGATGTTTAATGAATTAAATGAATGTGATAAAGGGGTTGGTAAGCGGAAGTTACGTTTCAGAAGACGAAAAAAAAAAAAGAATGTCATAATCGATTAAATTGAATCTCCAATATAAGTATTGGTTCATGCTTGATAGGAATGGCAGAGCAGTGGTTCAGCCCACAAAAGTAAACGGAAGGGATGAGAATTCCATTCTGATCATAATTATCTACACTCATACACAACACGACATAAAATTCAAGCCAAAGAAAATGATTTTTCATAAAAAGAATATTTAACATTATATGCATGTAGGATGCTTTTAGAAGTGAATAAAAAAGGAGCATCGGTGAAATCTAAACAAGAGGGTTATTTGGCTCCACTTGTCACGTGACCAAGTAATTCTGGGGCAAAGGTAGAGCGATTTTTAATAAACCATCAATTTACTTAAAATATTACCCTCTGTTATAAAGAGTTTCTAAAAATATTGAAATTATATAAATAGTCTTCATCATATTAAAAAATTCATCAATTTGTTCTTTACTATAATATTTTATTAATGTTGATAGAATCAATTGTAAGATTTTTTTTTAATACTTTTATGTATTCTTTTTATTACTTTAAAGACTAATTTCTAATATTTTTGAAACTACCTATATGATTAATTTTATTATTTTAAAGATTCATTTGTTTGTCGGGATGCGAAAAGATAATTATTTTATTATATTATAATCAGTTGTTCTAAAAGAAAATATTAGTTTTATTTAATACTTTTTCTTATCCTATTAGTATGGTACATTTATTTTTTTTCCTGTGGGAGAACTGAGATATGATAAACTAAAGAAAAATTACAATGGTGAGAATAACTAAGGATAAAAAATGGGCTACAAGAATCATATTTGGCTGAAACAAAACGTGGCGAAAAGATTTATATAAGGGAACTAGCTACAAAAATTAAAGCAGTTGAAGAAAAAAGATGGGTTCCAGCTCCATCTTGAAACTTTTTGTATCATCAATCCTTGTTTGCATTACGTTGCAGGCATATGCGCATGCATACACCCATGGTCTTAGAAAGGCAAGGAAGCATGTTAATTTCAAGTATGCTGATACAGTTGCATGTGTTTCACAACTTGACGTTTTGCTGCATGTTGGGTTTACAAATGTTTTCATTCTCTGTAGCAGACCTATATTGTATACTTGGGAGAACATTCTCATGGTCCAACTCCTTCCCTTGCTGATCTTCAGACAGCAACAAATTCCCACCATGATTTACTCGCTTCAGTCTTGGGCAGGTAAATATATGTATCAGTTTTAATATTAAAGATATAAATTTAACAAAAACTCTTCTAAAGAGATTAGTCTAGATGAAGAGATACTCTTAAAATTCATATATTATATAATAAAAGAAAATCTAAGAACTCCTATTATTCTGTAGCTATAGTTGATGACTTAAATAGGCTTTTTTCTTCTTTTTCTTCTTCTTCTTCTTCCCTTTTTCACAGCCATGAGAAAGCAAAGGAAGCAGTTATGTACTCGTACAATAAGCACATCAATGGTTTTGCTGCAGTACTTGAAGAGGAAGAGGCGTCAGAGATTGCAAGTGAGCTTCTAGTAATTTTTTTTACAGATATTGGAGTTGAAAGGATAACTAGTAATTTTGATGGCGTGTATTAATTGGTGCAGAAAAGCCAAATGTAATTTCTGTTTTCTTGAGCAAAGAGTATAAAATGCACACTACGAGGTCATGGGACTTTCTTGGGGTGGAAAAATATGGAGGAATTCCTGCAGAATCGGCTTGGTTGAAAGGAAATTTTGGCGAAAATACAATCATCGCCAATTTTGATTCAGGTACACTTAACTTTTACTTGCTCTTACTGCAACACATTTTGGATATCGCATATCTAAAATGAATTTGTCTTGGAGAAGGTATTTATCAACGTTCTTCTAATATGCATTTTTTTCTTCTTCTAACATATTATTTATTATTGGGCCCAAGAAAGAATATAATGGGAGACGATTTATTCCACTTCCATTGGCTTTAATATTATGTCTTTCACAACATCCTATTAATAATGTTCCTAATTAAATTACATGTATTTTTTTATATATGAAATATTAAGAATACATCATGAAAAGATATAGCATATTTTATAATGTTTTCGTCTTTATATTTTTATTTATTTCTTTTATTCTTCTCATCGTATCAACTAGCTTATCTCACTTTTTTCCCCTAAACTTCAAAAGTATTGACACACTTAAGATGGGTTTTTTACCCATTTAATTTAAATTAATTTATAACTTTAAATCATTAAACTTTAATACATATACTTTTATTTATATACTTTAGAAGAACTTATTTTAGAAAGAAAAAAATATATTATCACCAAAAGCAAGTGACTTTTTTTAATCTTATCCTTTATCATTATACGTGTATTACTATTATATTAGAATACCTTTTTTTTTTTGAAGCATCTATTATATAACACTTACCATATATTATATTTTAAGTAAAAAAAAAAAGAGAATACATTATACTTTTTTTTACCTTGTGATCTAATAATTTATTAACAAGTTTAAATTAAAGCACGATAACAACTGAAATAATTCCAGTCCTTCAAGAAAACGCCCAATTCTAATGGTACAAAACCATTAATTTGTGTCTTCGGTCTTGCTGTAAACTGTGTAAAGAAGCTTTAAGCCAATTAAAATTAATTAAATCCTTAAATCATGTACAATTTATTTATATATTTTAGATCGTTATTTCTTCATAAATCATAAAGGTGAGTAGTTTGATTTCAGAATAAATGTTTATCTTAACTCGAACCAACTTTTATTTTATGAGGTGGGTTAGACTATTGATTAGTTACTTGCTGGAACAGGCGTTTGGCCCGAACACCCAAGTTTCAGCGACAATGGATACGGTCCTGTGCCATCAAAGTGGCGTGGAAACGGGGTCTGTCAGATTCACCATTTAGGAAACCAAACTTTCTGTAACAGGTCTTTTTTATTTCACTAATTACTGAATTCTTTAGCTAGTCCAACTTATGAGCATTTTATATATTAATTAACGCATGAAGAAAAGAAATATGGATGGTATGTTGAAGTATATATGTTAATGTTATGTGATGAATCAGGAAGTTGATTGGTGCAAGAGTCTTCAGCGAAGGTTACGAGTCACAATATGGGAAACTTGATCCGTTAAACCGCAGTGCACGTGACTTTGTTGGGCACGGTACGCATACCCTGTCAACTGCAGCTGGTAATTTTGCTCCTGGTGCAACTATTTTTGGCAATGGCAATGGCACTGCAAAGGGTGGATCCCCTAAAGCTCGTGTTGCTGCCTACAAAGTGTGTTGGTCTAAAAATGATGCTGGTGGCTGTCATGAAGCAGACATTCTACAAGCCTTTGATCATGCCATATATGATGGTGTTGATATCATCTCTGCCTCTGTGGGTGGCTCTAATCCTTACATTGAGGCTTTCTTCACTGATGGGGTTTCCATAGGGGCCTTCCATGCAGTTGCTAGAAATATAGTTGTAGTTTGCTCTGCTGGCAATGATGGACCAGCACCTAGATCTGTCACAAATGTTGCACCTTGGTCATTCACAGTTGCTGCTAGTACAATGGACAGGGATTTTTTCACCAACATTTCTCTCGGTAACAGACATTACCTAAAGGTAACATTAACAACATGTTTCTTTTTTATATTTAAGGATAAAACTTATAAGTGTTGTTCATGTTTTCAAATCAAAATTAGAGTTTTATTCTGGTATTGTACATCGTAAATGAATTCATTAAATGGTAATGTGTATTATTATTGTAAAACTTTAATTTTGATTCGACAACAACATATCAATTATATTTATGAAATTATGTCTAGTCTTGTTCTGTGATGATGAGTTTAATAAGCGAGCTTAGTTAACAAGAAATCATTCCTCATATGAAAGTAGTCAAGAGTTATCTAACTTACTCAAATAAAAATGGAATTAAGCAATTCCAAAGAAGTTGCAATTAAGAAAATTACACCAATCACTTTAAGCCTTTATTTAGTAAAGGGTAAATAGAGAAGAAGAGGAGGGAAGAGAAAGTAAGTGTAGAGATTAAAAATTTCGTGTTATTTGATAAGAAGGAATTGTGAAGAAAATGGAGTGGGACCCAACAAAAACAAAATTCCCCTTTAAAATGAGGGGATTTGTGAAAAAATTTACTTTTTTTTTTTATAAAAATAAGAAGGGGAAGGAATTGTATTATATTTATATATATATATATATATATATAT